GGATGAAAATTGTCCACTAATTAAAGGGAGCACTAGCCGAAGAAAAAAAATGATGGAGATTTTTTCACGGAATGATGATTATGTGACTTCAATTCTGATGCTAATGATACATTTTATAATGTTCAACAATTAATTTAGGTTGTTAGATAGATATATAATGTTTTTTTTTTTTAAATATATGATAGTATGATACTTTAGTCTGTACTTACTATTTTCGTATAATCTGGATTGCAAAGTAAGGAGATATACATATATAGTAATACCAAATTTTGTAACAAATCTGCATGTCACATATGGAGAGCAGATACATTTGACTTTAATGGGAAAAAGTCAAAATCGATTATGGGCTGACACCATTGTTTTGACTTTACTAGAGTAACTAACCAACTAAACTAATCTTGGTTGGTAATAAATTACTTAGAGAAATTAGACACATTCTGTCACCGTTAACTCGTCTTTCTATTTTGAAAGAGAAAATTAAATTAGTTCTTGCAATTTTAGTTCAATTTTAGCGGTTTTTTGGGCTAAATGCTATGAGCTTACCAGAATGTTAACCAAACTCTTTCTTTAATAGATTCGGGCTAAACGATGTACTATCCGAACATATAAAGTTATAAATTTACACGCTAAAAAATTAAATTTGAACATACATAGTATTTACTTTTAAATACGCGTACATAATTTTGGTTTATTGACATAATGTTTACTCAATAAAAACTAATATAAATATTAAAATTAAACATGACAATAAATTTTATATCCGGATTTTATTCCATAGCCTTTAGACTGTGTGCGTGCATGCATGGTATTAGTTTACACAGTTTAATTTGCTATGTAGTCATCGGATGACTCGGCTTATGGAATCATACACACTTATTCATCAATACTGTATTGACACGTGTCCTGCAATAAATACAATTTGGACAGATGTCAATACATTAAGTGGTGGGTGGCTCCATAAAAAAACCATCCAATGGCTCCATAGAATTTTCGTTAGTTTACATCCATACATATGCATGGTGATAGATTTGGCAAAATTTCAAAAAAGATACATCAAGTTTGGCGTTGTCAGAAAACGAGATATAATGTTGTCTCTAACGGAAAAGATACATTTAGTTGTCATCTTGACCGAATAAGATGCATTAATCACACAGTTCGGATAAATTGTTGACGTGGACGGATAAGATAATGACGTGATATTTTAACTTTCCTTAATTTCCTATGTATTATTTACGTGGCGTGATGTGTCATCTTTCTTTCCAAGTACACAATTACACCTAGATATAAAAAAAATGAAAGAAAATAAAAAAAATAATAATCATAATAATAAAAATAAAAATAAAAAATCCATACATATATATATATATTAACTTAATATTTCATTAAATATATATTAAAAAATATTAAAAAATTCATTATGTTTCATTAATATATATTAAAAATTATTAAAAAAATAAAAAATATTTCGCAAAATTTAAATATATTTCGTTAATGTATATTAAAAAAACATTAAAAAAATAAAAAAACAATTCAATAAAAATAATAATGATATATAATTTATTACATTATCTAATATAATACTTTACATAATATTATATTTATTTAATATAATATAGATATAAATCACAAAATATATATTTAAATTCAAAAAAACATATTTTAAATTATTTAAAAATGATAAAAAAATTAAAAATATAAAAATATATTTAAATATTTATAAATAATTTAGGGTCAAACGCCACTCGAATTTAAAATATTAAAATAAAAATTGAATTTTGGGTTTGCTACC